GTGTCTATCTCTCTCCCGATTCGGACGAGACAACTTTTTCACTAGAGAAAACGTATTATGCATAGAGGACTTGTCTGAAGTTTAAAAACATCTTCATGATGGATTTCTTACAAACACACAGCTTTTCCCTTCACATGTCATTAATTGATGGACTAGTTGTGTGGATTATTTGTAACAGTACTATAGTAACGGTAATATAGATTTTAATGCCATGTCAGCATCAGGCTATGTTCCAAAACTGAGTTACAAAAAATACACAACTTGCTTAAATACAATATATATAAAAAAAAAAACTAAAAGCAAAAAAGAAAAATACAGCAATTAAGACTATACAAGATGTTTTACATTTACATATGATATAAATTGTAAAACCTTTCCTGGTTAAATCAAAGTTAACAAGTCCTTAAGTGAGGATTGCTTGTGGATTATTGTGATGTTTTTATCAGCTGTTTGGACTTTCATTCTGACGGCACCCATTCACTGCAGAGCATCCATTGGTGAGCAAGTGATAGAATGCTAAATTTCTCCAAATCTGATGAAGAAACAAACTCATCTACATCTTGGATGGCCTGAAATTTTCAATTTTAGTCAGTTTTTGTATATTTTTGTAAAGATTAAATGTGAAAGTGGACATGACACTTATTTAAAAAATGGTAGGTAAAATAAGCTAAGGCTTCAGCCTACACCTTTTCTGTCAATATGTACAATTATGAATAATTATTATAGAATTGTATAGAATCTTGATGATGATGATGATTTTTCATTCAGGGCAAACATTTTATCAGGTTATGCATTAAACTATGATCTCTGTGTTGTTCGACTGAGCTACAGGAAAGTATTCTCTGTAACTAAAGCCTGTGAACTCTGCCTCAGTTTTCCAAAACTTTAGTTTCATAATGGCTGCCATTCTTACCTGAATATCCACCTGCCAAGGCCACGCGCCTTCCGACGCAGCGGAGCCTCCGACTATCCTGTTCAGCAGTTGTGGCCGACCACATTCTGAGTCAAACACATTGATTCTGGTGATTTGTTTGCTTTACTCTCATAAACCAATTCACATTTTAAGTATATACGGATAAGATAACGCTTGAAGTGTTTATTTTAGCTGTTATGTTTCCCTCTGACAGACAAACACAACCCTAGTGCAAATTAGATCAATTTCTTACCTTGAGCCTCGCCCATCCAGAACCCTGAATGGCGCCCAACATAAAACAAAACAATGAAGTTACAGTCCTACATTAATTGTTAATACGCTAACAAATTTTTTAATTTTTTTTATAAAGAAAAACATTGAAGTTATGCACCTACCAATCAGCATGACGAAGGCAGTCCGAATACAGGAGGTGTACCGCATCCTATCAAAATAACGTTACCTTTGCTCCAGGGACTTAAGAAAACTTCAACTTCGTTTAGAATTCAGACGCAAATCTTTAAAACGAATATGTTTCTAGAAATAATCACTTCCTTGTTCGACGAAGTCAGGAGAACTGAAGATCAATACTTCGGTAGTTTCGCTCATGGAAAAAAAACTAGCTTCCCGTGATCTTTGTTTTTTTTTTTTTTCAAACGATCTGTCTACCTTTACAACAATGACCAATCAGGAGCGTTCGTCCCGCCCTCAATGAGCACAAACCCCGCCCACTCGTTCACCTCTAGCAGTTCTGGTTTCTCTGTTTTGATTCGGGGACTTTGTCCGAGAATGTGGCAGGTCAAGGTGTTTGCAGTGTACTAATGAATGCAGGTTTCAAAATATAAGCTCTAAGTCAATCATTTGTGTGATTTGAACAAATTAGTAAGGCTTCAAGGTTTCTACCTTGTTCTGCGGCTTTGTTGAAAAGTGGTTGATTTAATTGTTTCCCATTAAAAAGCTGCTAAATTACTATTGTGTGGCATATGTCATCTAACTACTAAATACTACTGTGTGGGTTGCAGGGACTTTTGTAAACAGGTTTTAACAATCAGTCCCTTTTTTTTGCATGCACATGACTGAGAAACATGCATAACAGGTTCAGTGTATCAGTGGCCTTATAATGCCTAGGATGTTATCAACAAAGAATAAGTGCATTTATTTTGTGATCATGAATTTGTGATTTTGTGGTGGTCACATGCTGAAGTGTTAAATCAGTCAGGATTTACACTACAATAACCAGTGCAACCAGTGTAATCTTAAATCTTCAAAAAAATACATAAAGTAAGTTGAAGTGAACTCAAAACGTCCTTGTTAGTTTAAAAACAGCTTTTACTGAAACCAAGCTGCCAAAATTACCCATTTTCTACTTAAAGAAGAAATGCCCCTTAAAGAGGAGTATTTTAACCAGAGGGCCAAAAACAGTGAAAGCATATCTAGTAAATATTATGACTGCTTTTGATGCAATTATTAAACAACATTAGAAGTGAACATCAGGAAACATAAAATAAATATTTAAAAATATTTGCCTGCATTCCATGGCTGGAATGGCAGTAAAAGAGATGTACAGAAAAGGTTGCAGTGAAATTAGCAGTTATTTTACACAAAAAGTTGAATTGGTAAAGGCACGGTTCACTCGAAAATAAAGATTCTGTCATCCTTTACTCACCCTCATGTCTTTCCAAACCTGCATGAATTTCTTTCTACTGTTGAACACAAAAGAAATTCTGAAGAATGTGGATAACCAACAGATGACGTTTTTCTAGAATTCAGTGGTTAACATCACATATTGAAGTCAATGGCTACCATTGGCTACAACTGTTTGGTTCCCCACAAAACTGTTCAACAGAAGAAAGAAATTCATACAGGTTTGGAACAAATTGAGGGTGAGTAAATAGGACCTTTCGCACCGCGGGACCTTCTGGGTAGTAACCCAACCGCTGGGTCAAAACAGCCCAATTGCTGGGTTTTTCCCTATTTTACCCAGCACTGGGTTGTATTTAACCCAGCATTTTTTAGAGTGTACCCGGTAAATTATAAACTTGCTAAATTTAATAATAGGATTTCCCAATTGCTCCTTTTGTCTATTATTAATAATAGATTAAGCGGACAGATGCTCGACGATAATCACTACATGACTCCGTGTTCACCTTCCTCTTCTGTTGAGCTGCTGCTGTGTCTCTGTCTCGGTTGTGTTCCTCTCGCTCTGTCCTCAGGCTCTGTGTCTGCTTTTACAGCACGACCGAAGGTGACAGGAACAGGGACAGGGACAGGGACAGAGAGGAGGGACGGGAGAGAGGATGCAGCGCGGTGTCGCCAGGGCAGCACAACACGACGGAGAAACCGCGGAACTGGACCATAGAAACGGAAAGAATGTGTTGAAGGAAGTCACCGTTCCACTAAAGTAGCACGACCACCGGTCAAAATCAAAAAAGACGGGAAAGTTTGTATTTTTGATTACCTGAGGAAGAAAGCTATTCATTCTCCTCAGTGAAGTGTTGCAGTTCGTCTCTCTGCCGACTGTCGCAGGATGAACTGCGCGAGTTATTTGATAAAGCTGCTCCGCTCGGCTTTGTTTTAAGGACTTGATGAATATTTGTCGTGACATTGTTGCTATGGTGACCATCTCTTCTCCCTCCACAGCCCCCTCCCGCCCCACTTTTAACCCCCAGCGCTAAAATAGAAAAGAGGTAGAGAGAGGGATGGAGAGATGGTGGGGTGAGGGGTTAGTTAAAAAAATATGCATGTCCTAAAGCTATATGTATCTTTGCAAGAAACATACACACACACGGACCCGCACGGTCACGTGATTGACTCATAAATACACGCATGCACGAGAATAACCGTAGTGACACATGCACAGTCACGGAGGCTGGTGAAAATGCACATCTGTACCACAACCCAAAATTTTGGTTAATATGTTATAATATGTATGATATAGTGCACATAGGCTATATCATGACATTAAAATACACAGTCAAAAGGTTGGACACTATGTTTCTTATGATTAAAAAAAAAAACTTTCTGATATAAATATTATGCTTTAATAATGATGATGATATGCCCCATTGTAAATAGCAAATAAATAAATATGCTTTAATAATAATAGTTATTATTAAGATGCCTCCTCAGATATAATAAATAAATAAAGACATCAATCTGTTTTAATACTACTACCACTTTTATTATTATTATTATTATTATTATTATTATGTTCACTCAGACACAAATAAATAACAAAATCAGTTTTAATACTACTACCAACCCACACACACACACACACACACACACACACACACACTGGTTTATTTATACCCTCATCCAACTCTCATTGCTCTCTCATTATTCTATCCTCAACATATAATTTATTGTGTTTATCACATTAAATATACATTAGTAATCCTGGGAAATCTTTGTGCTTAAATGTTTCAAAATGTTCAATTATGATCTAATGTATTCAATGAGAAAGGCCACATCAAATATAATTTAATCAGACTTAATTGATCTGAATTAACCCATAAAATTCCCAGTTTTCCCAGTTGTGGACATGTATTTTATTCTGTAGATAAACTAAAGAGATGGATTTTTGTTTTTTTAAAGTTAGTGACAGCATGCTTTATTTTCAATCACAATGAACACTGAAAGACAAAATTGCTCAATTGGTTTAGCTTTGTTTCATTTAATGAAACGAGTCTTTGAAATCTATCTAACGCAGAACTGTAGATTCCGTCATGCTGAAACAAACAGACTAAAATGAATGTGTTTTTAAGTTGTGAGAAGAAATGCAAAAATCTCCACTTCAGGAATGTCCAATGATCTCTCATTTTCCCTCCCAAATCCCACTTATCTTTTAACATGTGCAGGCTAATTAATATTAAACTCTGCTCTTTTCTGCCATTCCCCTCTTCTTCTTTTTCATTACTCCATTATCTGTAGTTTTTTCTTTTTGCTTCTCTCTCTCACTGGCATTAAGTTCAAACTTGACACTGATGTTGACTCGTTGTGTCACTCTTCTCCTCTCTCTGTCTCTCTCTCTCTTTAAGGGCAGAATTGCCTGCAGATGCATTTCTATTTCTCTGTCACTCCACACACACACAGTTCATTGTTAACAAAGCAAGTTGTCAGGAAACCCTCAATAACATTTAAAAAGAGGGATAGCATTGCTGTGCTGCCGTGGATGTGCTGCTCGTGATGTAATGGCTGGTGAGTTGGATTTGTATTCTTTTTCTTTGCTCTTTCTTATAATTTTGTTAGAAACTGCTGTATTGAGTCCACAAAGGTTTGTAAAAGCAACATTCAAAATATTTGAGTAACAAAATAAAATTTTTAGACATGGTCTAGTTGTCTCACTTTTTCAAAAGTATAACATTTTGTAATAAAAAACACTAAAATGTAAAAAACGTACAATAAAAATTCGTACAATATAAAAAATATTACAGTATAGTGTAAAAAATTGTAAGGGTTATCATATACAGTATTTAAGTTTACTGTAAAATACTGTCAAACATGTTTTTTTGTAAAAACTGAGAGAAAACAGTAAAAGGGTGTTCATAGAAGTCCCTGCGCAACATCACATATTGATATATTTTATATAAATATTTTTGTTGTTGTTGTCAGTAATGTACATTAGCGTGTGTTATGTTATTTAGTTGGTGTTTATTGCATCATTTTAATGTCCTTTGTGTTACCATGTGCACCGTCTGTAGTATTGGCCATGTGTTATGGACAGGATGCATCATATGGCTTTCTGATGTATTATAGTGGTATTATTAAATTTTTAGGTAAAAAGTAGGTTTTGGTATCATTTGGTAAATTAATATGACATCATTAACGAAATATATGCTTATAAGTTTTAAAATATACAGTACAGGCACCAATATGCTGTTTCCTAATACTTGAAAGTGAATTTCTGGCAACCACAGCTGCCAGATTTTACCGTCAATTTAACATGATATTTTTTACAATCTAGTTTTATTTTTGAACATCTGTTACTGTATGTCTTGGCTACAAAAATGCTATTGAACATCTCCTCTGTTATTGCTAAGGGGAAAACAAAATACAGTTATTTGAACACATAATGAGCTTGTTTCATTAAGGTTAGTTTTCGAGGAAAACCTGCTAAAAGCCTATTATAGATTTTTAAAAACTAAATATAAATCATAATTTTAAAATAATGTATGCACAAAAAAATGTGAAATGGAAATATATTAAAATATCAAACAACTGATCTGGCCAACAGAAATTATAATGTGGACAGGTAAAAGCATTTTTTTATTGAAAGTCATTGACAATGAATATGTAATGTAACATTGTATGTATGTAATTTAATTCACCTAAATTTCACATTTCTTCTAATGCACAAATCTGTACGCCTACGGCAAACACGTGACGAGCTAATAAATGAACACTGTTAGTATTAATGATGTAACAGACTCTTCGTGTATAAAATGATGCTCCTGTAATTCACTTTAACATTGATTGTGTGCGAATGTATGATTCTGTCATACATTTTGTTCCTTGTAAATTTTCTGTATAAAAACAGATGAGGGTCAAAGGTCATACTGCATCTTAGGGAGCCTGAATTAAACGAGTTCTTCTGTCTCTTTCCATTCTGAGGCTGGAGTGGTCAGGTACATGATGTTTGAGAGGTTGACCATGCTGAATATCCAGAGCACCTCAAACTGGAGTGGAGCAAATGACTGGTACCATCAGCAGAACACAGTTCCCAGCCAGCACAGCACTGGTGAGATGCTCGACGCCTGATATATGTCTGACCTCCTCTGGCTGTATATAAGACACAATAATAAGGCACTAAAACATGTGTGTGCAATTGTTGTGTTTTAAAAAACAGTATTTTTTTACCAGTCAAATGCTTTGACAAACTGGACTGAATTTCTGTTTCTAACATTTTGAAGAAAAAGCTTATACTCAGGGCCGTCCTTAGCTGATGCGGGGCCCGGTGCGAGGTAGGGAGTGGGGCCCCCTTCGGTCCGTTCGCCGTGGGGGCCCCCTCAAGCGTTGCACCCCCATAAGGACGGCCCTGCTTATACTTAAAGGGACAGTTCACTCAAACATTAAAAATCTGTCATCATTTGCTTCCCCTCATGTCATTTCAAGCCTGTATGAATTTCTTCTGTGGAACACAAAAAGGAAGAGATTTTGAAGAATGTTGGTAACCAAACAGTTTTGGACCCCATTGACTTCTATGAACCAAACATACTATGAAAGTCAAAGTGATGCAAAACTTGGTTCCCAACTATATTTATTATTATTTTGGGTATATTTTGTGTTTCACAGAAAGAAATACATACAAGTTTTGAATTCAATTGTTGGGTGGACTATCCCTTCAAATGCTTGAATTTGAACCTGCGTATAAATTTATTTCAACTAAAATTGTAAGTTTGTTTGTTTTTTTTAAGAATGGTGATTTTGAAGAAGCTACCATTTAAGACTTTTTTTATTTGTTTAGCAATTTTGGTTACTTACTACCACTTTTGTTTTGGTTTTGACGATTTATTATTATTGTAAAATAGTAAAATACTTCTATGAACTAATCCTTAAGAATTCATACAATGATTCCCTGCTTCCACACTTTCATTCTACAGATTAGCAACTTTTTTTTTTTCATTTATTTATTTATATATATATTTTTTTGTTTCAGATGGCTGCCTGGTGGGGACGGATGGGAGGATGGCAGGAGAAGGAGGGCATGTGGAAAGAGATGAGGGAGAAGAGTCTCGACTGAGGCTGCAGCTGAAGAGGAAACTTCAGCGCAACAGAACCAGCTTCACAACAGAGCAGATCGAGGCCTTGGATAAGGGTAAGAAAACAGACAAAAATTTGAATTATATAGCATTGGATGAAAAAATAAAAATACAAATAAAACCAAGCATTTATTTCAAAAAAAAAAAAATTAACTACTAAACTTCATTTAGAGTTTGAGAGAACACATTATCCAGATGTTTTCGCACGGGAGCGACTCGCACACAAAATCGACCTTCCAGAGGCAAGGATACAAGTATGTAACTGTCCTTGTCAATTTGTCGAAGCAAAATAAATATGATAGATCATTTCATATACATTGGACCTTGATTGGCAGGTGTGGTTTTCCAATCGAAGAGCCAAATGGAGGCGCGAGGAGAAGCTTCGAAACCAGAGGCGGTCTGGAGGCGGGACTTCCTGTGCTCAAACACACGCTTCACTGAGCACATCCTTTAACTCAGCTGTCTATCATCATCCGCATGGCAACAGTGCAGGTGGGAACGGAGATTTACATAAATGAGAAATTTGAATACCGTACTGGCCACTTTTCCCCTTTCTCATCTTATTTGTATGTGCATGATTTTATGTTTCTAGTGAACTTAAAAAACATTTTTAAACACTTTAAATCAGTTTTGAAATTGTTGGAATAATTTATTTACCTAATTAAAATGTATTTGTTTGTTTGTGCCTTTGAAGTAGCTAAAATGTAAGATTTTTATTAGTTTAGCCTTTTTTGGTTACTTACATAATTCTCATAATTCAGTGTGTGTTCATTTATGGTGTTGAGGCTTTAATAACTATTTCTATGAATTAAGAATTATTCTTAAAATTTCATATATATACTCATTAATGGACAAACGTTGATTTTCACGAGACGCACCGGCGCATGCGCAACGCTGACCTCATACGTCATCAGCCCAGAGCTGCTTCCGTGTACAACAGTGAGCGCAAGGTAGATTAAAGTGGTTATTACGTTTTGAATATAGATATTTTTCTTACAAAAAACGCATCGATTCGCTACAGGAGGCCTTTGTTCACCCCCCGGAGCCGTGTGAGGCACTTTTTTTTTTATGGATGGGCGCTTTTTAATTAAGTGCTTTTGGACTGAAGCACTGCAACACCCACTGAGTGCCATGAAACAGCTTGAAAGATCAAAGACAATTTTTAATATAACTCCGACTGGATTCGTCTGAAAGAAGAAAGTCATACACACCTAGGATGACTTGAGGGTGAGTAATTTATGGGCTAATTTTCATTTTTGGGTGAACTAACCCTTTAAGCTGTAGCCTACCTCATATGTTTTTTTATTTATTTATTTTTTTCTCACGTCTTTGTTTGTGTGTGTTTAGCCTCCATGTTCAGTCAGAGTGACACGGCTCTCCCCAGTTACAACACTCTGTCAGTCTACTCTGGGGTTCAGGTGAGACACTACTACTCATTTTAGGAGATTCACATTTCTATATCGCAAAACATTGCACTACCAATTTATCAGGGCTATGTGCATCTGCACTGTTATGTATTCTAGTGGTGACAATGAAACTGACATCAGTGATCGCCAGAAAATCTGTCTTGTCTTTAGAATGGAATAGCCTACTAGCCGACTACTCACTGAATGTGTAGTAGTGTCTACACAGAGCAAAATGATAGGCATTATTTAATGATTAACGTTTCAAACAGTAGTATCACATGATATCATCAAACACATGAAAAAAAAAATCATGTTTAATTCAATGTTATTTGTAATTTTTTTTTTAGTAATATTAATTGATATAAACAATTTCTGAATGAAAATTGTTTCAAAATCATTTTTTAGAGCAGTGCAGCTTACATGCAATGCTTATTGTTGTACATTTTGGCAAATATAGTAATGTACTAATACTGTATATGTAGTATAAAATGCATACTGTGCACAGTAGTATGTTGGTATACGATTCTGTTCTTCACTGCATTTCGCTTCTTTGCAGTCGGCTCCTTCTCCATCTGCCTCCTCATACTCGTGCATGCTGCCTCCATCCCCATCTGCCCCTCGCTCTTTTGAGACGTCATACTCCTCTCCCCATCTACCACCTCCTCCTTCAGCAAACACCAGCGCAGGTGAGTCTACCAGCTCTTCATTTACTGTCTGTATGACAGCTAAAGCCCTGTGCTATCCATCGCAAGATCCCGACAATTGCAGTTTCAATAGCTCCTGTCTATTTATTGATTTAGTTATTTGTTTGTTGGTTGTTTTAAAGGAATAGTTTGCCCAAAAATATTTCATATTTGCCGACAATCTGCTTACCTACTACATCCAAGATGTAGATGAGTTTGTTTCTTCATCTGAACAGATTTGGAGAAATGTAGCATTCCATCACTCGCTCACCAATGGAGCTTCTGCAGTGAATGGGTGCCGTCAGAATGACAGTTGATAAAAACATCACAATAATCCACACCACTCCAGTCCATCAATTTGAGAAGTGAAAAGCTGCGTGTCTGAAAGAAACAAATAATAGTAATTGATGGACTGGAGTGGTGTGGATTATTGTGATGTTTTTATCAACTCTCATTCTGACGGCACCCATTCACTGCAGAAGCTCCATTGCTCAGCAAGTGATGGAATGCTACATTTCTCCAAAATCGGTTCCGATGAAGACACAAACTCACCTACATCTTGGTGAGAGTGAGTAAATCTTCAGCCAATTTTAATTTTAGACCGAATTATTATTTTAATAGATAAAAGTGCATTATTATTTTTCTTTAATCTTTTTCTACTTTAGGTTTGATTTCTCCAGGCATTTCTGTACCTGTCCAGGTACCAGGAAATGATCAAAATATGGGGCAGTATTGGGCCATACTGCAGTGAAAAGAAAAGGCGAGGTAGAATTTGCATTAGAATACTAAATATGTATGTTTACAAAAGGTCAAAAACTAAATGTTCTAAACGCTGAGGGAAATAATCCTCTGATGGTTAAACCTAAAGAACAAAATTCCTTAATTTGACATGCACATTTATTTTAGCCATATTTTTAGATCTGATGACAGTGTGCTATATTTGCTTCCATTCAATTTCAGACAGACAGGAATGTATATGATTTACATGATGAAGCATTGTGCAATGACATTCGTGCTGTTTTTTAGCAAATGTCTCTTGCAGTAAGTTCCTGCAGCAACTTTGCAGAATTGCGGATATTATGATGTTTTAATAACATAACTGTGGTTTCAACTTCTTTAATGATAATTCCTCATTTCTCCACTGCAATTTTCCCTTTAAAGTCATTTATTTGTTGTGATCATTTTCATAATCAGATATGTGATATATCACTTTTTATGAAATGTTTTTGACCTTATCCTTTCACAAACCTCAGTAAGCTTGTGACAATCAAGGCAAATGCCAAGTTCAATCAGAGCAGGGACTGAAAGCCAGTCATATTTGCACTTAATCAATGACCAGTAAACAGCTGTTTGATTTAAAAAGCAGAAAGCAGTGACTATCACATCAGTGAATACTATATGCAAAAATCTCCAGCATATCTCATCTGGCAAGCCAAAGTATTTATATTGAACATAGTGTCATACAGTATATATTTATGACTCTGAGAAAATGTTTGAATATTAGGAAACTATCTCTGTGCTTAAACTACAGTTTATGGATTTTTTATGCTCTTTCTCTCTTTGTGTGTGTGTGTGAAGGAGAGAGAGAAATAAGGATTTACAATGAAATTGCTTCTTTTTCATTCTTTTAAAATTAACAACACACTTTTTGATTCAAATTTTATCAGCACAACATGAAAAGTTGAACTGAAAAATTAACATTAATTTCAGACTGTTCAGAATCTCGCTTTTTATTTAATGACAGCCACGCTTAAAGGAATAGTGCACCCAAAAATGAAAATCTGCTAAAAATGTGCTCATCCTCAGATCATCCAAGATGTAGATGAGTTTGTTTCTTCACTGGAACAGATTTGGAGAATTTTTACCAACATCACTTGCTCACCAATGGATCCTCTGCAGTGAATGGGTGCCGTCAGAATGAGAGTCCAAACAGCTGATAAAAGCATCACAATAATCTGCAAGTAGTAGTCCACACCACTCCAGTCCAACAATTAATGAATTGTGAATTGAAAAGCTGTGTTTTTGTGAGAAACGAATCCATCATTAATGTGTTTTAGCTTTAAACGGTTTCTTCTGGACAGAATTCGAGTCCATAATTGATGGACATTAATTGGAGTCGTGTAGATTAACTGTGGATTACTGTTATGTTTTTATGCTAAATTTCTCCAAATCTGACTATTCCTTTAAACTGGTATTTTAAAATATTTTATGTCCATTTTTGACCCTCTTGTACTATATGTGGATGTTGTGTTCACTCAAGATAGTCAACCTATTTCATGTATGCATTAAACCCTTTAATAAAATATCTATCTTGCAATCATGAACTGTATGTTGTAATTGTCTCAAATACATCTTCATCCCAATTGATCATAATCATTTTAGTCCATTTAACCAAATAAGCATATGAACATTTTTTCACTGTACATACACACATGTAAATGGTTTCACTTCCAAAAGGGATATTCCATTGCATTACACCAGTCACATGATTTTTTTTTATCTCTTTATGTATATCCTATTTACTAGTTTCATATACTTGAATCTACAACAAAGCCACTTGATGAGTCATTATACTAGCTTTAAATAGTTTTAGTGAAGCAGGAATTAACCCAGATTGTCTAGCCATTAATATATCACTGTGTATCTCTCTTCCTCTTACTTTCTGTCTCTCTCTCTCAAGGCATTAGCGATACAGTGTCATGTGCCACTAATAGTGCTTTCAGATGCACTCTCTGGCAGTTGGGAGATTGGGAAAGATGAGAGAGAAGTAGCTCTGATGGGTTGCAGGCACTTTCAAACAGCAGGAAATGGACATTCTGGAGCTCACAGATATGATCATGCGTGCCTTATGTTGTCTGCCGTGTTAATAACTTTGTATGACTTTGTCATCAAAAGTAGAAGTGAAAACAAATGATGTCTGACAACATAAAGAGAAAGAGGAAGAAGTCCAAATGAAGACTCTGCTCACAGACACTTGGGCAGTTTTAGAGAGTTAAAGGGTTAGTTCACCCAAAAATGAAAATTCTGTCATTAATTACTCACCCTCGTGTTGTTCCAAACCCGTAAGAACTTTGAGCATCTTCGGAACACAATTTAAGATATTTTTGATGAAATCTGAGGGCTCTCTGACCCTCCCATAGACAGCAAGGTAACTACCACGTTCAAGGTCCAGAAAAGTACCAAGATGATCGACAGAGTAGTCCGTGTGACATCAGTGGTTCAACTGTAAAGTTACGAAGCTACGAGAAGACTTTTTTTGCGCAAAGAAAACACGAGCCGCCACACGCTCGCGTCATGGTACTGTCGTGAACGCGCGTCAAGTATTCTCGTAGCTTCGTAACTTTACAGTTGAACCACTGATGTCACACGGACTACTTTGTCGATCATCTTGGTACTTTTCTGGACCTTGAACGTGGTAGTTACCTTGCTGTCTATGGGAGGGTCAGAGAGCCCTCAGATTTCATCAAAAATATCTTAAATTGTGTTCCGAAGACGAACAAAGGTCTTATGGGTTTGGAACAACACGAGGGTGAGTAATTAATGACAGAATTTTCATTTTTGGGTGAACTAACCCTTTAAATTTCGTCTCAAGTCCCCCAAAAGTGTCCCAATTTACAAACTTTTTTTTGGTACATATACTGTATATATATATAGGCTTTGCAATAGCCTACAGTCGTTCACAAGCTGCATGCACAAAATAAAAACTCCATTGCTGATAAACGATCAGTCCTGTCACTGATCACTACCATGGGTGACAGCCAGGTAGGCCTAAACATCCACCTTACCCAGAGCTCTTTTTGTTTTCTGTCTTAAGAATGTCGTTACAATGTGAGAAACCGAGGCAAACAATTCAGTGCACGAGTTAACTGTACAAATGAATCAAACTTCAAACAATTTCTATCCGCAGGTTAGTTATTGGTGACAAGTATGGAAGCCCATTTCTGACACGGGATAAAAAAAATTAAAAAGGGAATTGCGACTCTTTATTTCAAGTTTATTTCTTACTATTCAGACTTTGTTTCCATAAACTTACAATTCTGAGAAAAAAGTCAGAGTTGTGAAAAACAGTCCAAATTGTCAGATTTAAACTAGAAATTGCGAGAAACCAAGTCTAAATTGTGAGATATAAACTCGGAATTAAAATCTCAAAATTCTGACTTTTTTTCTCTCAGAACTGGGAGAAACAAGGTACGAATAGTGAGATATATACTCAGAACAAAATGTGAAATGAAAAGTCACAATTAATTTTATGTTTTTATTTTTATTCCATGGCGCAAACAAGCTTCCATAAAGTGATTACTTTGAGTGAGTCAGAGTATCATTCACTCAACTAAATGTAAGTTAGTCAATATTAATTTATGGTTTATTGATCTGTTGTATAAAAGCAATATCAAGGTGTGGTCACATTTTGCAAAAAAAGTCAATTGTCAACAGCTCACACAGAAGTCGATTTCAAACCAAACAGCTTCTCTTGGTCCGCGCAGTGAATTTGAGTGACCAGCTTGAACATGAGCAAAAATCTGTGTGGGGAACTTTTCATGACTGTGCGGATTCCTAGTGAAATGACTGGATTACACTCACCAGCCTTCGCCAAGCAATGCCAATGTGACCACACCTCAATATCAGCACACATTATGAACAATAGCTGTCTTGGTGTGATATTGCTAATCAAAGTCCTGTTTTTTCATCACTTACCACATGTTTATGTATCTGACATACCTTGAGAAATATGTTGAAATTTGTCCTATGACAAGAAGAGTGTTACAAAACTGCATGACTTTGCATCATCATCAGATGTTTGAACTTCTGTTAAATACACTGGGGCCTTAAACTTCAAAGTAAAATCAGTCTCCTAAATTGTTTCTTAAAACATACACACACACACACACACACACACACGTCTGTAAATTTCCTGGTCCCCTGTGATCTTTTCTTCCTGCAACTACTTCCTGTCACACTATCCTATTTTAGGTATTATTATTTTAAAGTTTCATTTGAGTCACTGATGTCTCAATTATAAAAAATAAAAAAAGCACCTTAGTGATTATGTATTTTCACTATTGATTTTTAAAAGGGGAATTATAAAATACTGCAGATGAAAGAAAAAAATACACATTCAGTTTTTTGGTTTATAATAATCGCAGTGTTTGTTTTACTGAGGGTGACAACTCTTAAGAAATAGAGCGTTATTGAGTGTTGTAACGGTTTGGTGAGGTTTGAAACATCCGGTTTCTTTCCGTTATGGGTGTGACTGCACCTTTACCTAATTTGTGCTTTGTGGGTTTTGGTGTTTTTTGACTGATGAAAAATCTGAGCATGGTAAAGCTGAATCAAGGCATAATTTAATAATTAATGTTAATATTAATTATGCATATTTAATGCAGTTAAGTAATGGAGAGAGAGAGAGAGAGCTCCTCATCGATTGGTCTCTGCCCTGCCTAGTCCTTAGAGGGATAAACTGAAGTAGCAAGAGAAACGCATATAACGGTATGAGAAAATAAGCTGCATTATCCTTAGAGTAAAAGCAGATTGTCTGCAGCTGTTTATTCATTTTTATTGCATCCAGGCAGATGACTTTCTCAGGATATCTTTGGTTGGTTTACCTGACCTGCACTGTGCTTGTGTTTATCTCTCCGGTTCATTTGGCTCCGATACCGGACCAGTACTCTCGGGGTGTGGTAAGATGAGCTTTACTCTGCAATACTATAAGTTAAATATTTTTAATAAATAAGAAAACAAACACTGTACCATGTCATACGTGGGTTTGGGTTGTATTGTTTTTGATGTGCATATGGCAGCATACTTTCATGTGTGCAAATTCCCTGTGTGCCAGATTTAAGTTATATTAGTCAGTGGAATTTCTTGGAGGTTTTTTTTTGTGTGTGTTACATAATGTAAATGTGTTACATAACATGAATATGCGTTTAAATTGTGGATTCAGACCTCATATTTATGAGGTCCATGTATTCTAGTGACAATCAACAATTCAATTCTCTTCATTAGTCAATTAACTGAGGTGTAGAATAAACAAGAGACCAAAACAGTTTAAATTGTTAATTGGACAGTTACACTTGATATGAAAAGGAGACAATTAAAGTCAACAAGTCTGTTAACCCTCTTAACGCAAAAAGTGTGTTTCGATCTTTTACACACCACGTTAATCACACAATTTGTGTAAAAAAAATAAATAAATAAAAAAAAAAGTGCTGTTTGACCCAATGATGTAATCATATAATTCTTATTGGATAAATCGCTGCACCATATCTCGTAATATAGGTTAAAATAAATAAAGAATAGAGAAGCTTGGAAGGACCTTCCCGTGGCCATGTAAAAAGATTTGAGAATATTTCTGGCATCACCAAGAGATAATCTGAATATAATCTGATAATTCTAATATGAATCATGGACAACTTTAAAAAGGCGATTTTCTCAATATTTAGATTTTTTTGCTCCCTCAGATTCTAGATTTTCAAACAGTTGTATCTCGACCAAATATTGTCCTAACAAAACCATACATCAATGGAAAGCTTATTTATTCAGCTTGATCAGATGATGTATAAATCTCAATTTAAAAAAATTGACCCTTATAACTGGTTTTGTGGTCCAGGGTCACAAATGTGTCTTCTTATAGGATAAGGACACGCGTTCTCATGAATAATTATAGATTTTGCAATAGCCTACAGTCGTAGCTTTTTAAGTCATGATGACGAAAATAACACAAGAACCTCAAAAATGAACCAGTTTTCTGCTAAAATTAAAATGAAAATTTTTACCTGCAAGCATTTTTAACATTTTCAAGACCGCCGCTCCAAAATAGGCTATGCAGCAGAGATAAGATTGCTAGCAATTTGCCACTTTCTGCATAATTGTGTAAAATGCACCTCGACCTTCTACGAATGATCAAAAACTTGGCAAAATACATGTTGAAAGTCTCTTTATTGACTGAATGATGTGTTGGACACACTGCGTTGCTTCTTCCCCAAAATAACACAAGAACCTCAAAAATGAACCAGTTTTCTGATAAAATTAAAATGAACATTTTTACCTGCAAGCATTTTTAAAATTTTCAAGACCGCCGCTCCAAAATAGGCTATGCAGCAGAGATAAGATTGCTAGCAATTTGCCACTTTCCGCATAATTGTGTAAAATGCACCTCGACCTTCTACGAATTATCAAAAACTTGGCAAAATGTAATTTGAAAGTCTCTTTATTGATTGAATGATGTGTTGGACACACTGCGTTGACCCTTATGACTGGTTTTGTGGTCCAGGGTCACATATAATATAAAAAGGTGTCTTTTTGCCTTTGGTAAGTTAAAGTAACATTTTTAGCATGTGATTTTTCTTAGGATTGGTTAAGCAGGTATGGATATCTGCCCCCTCCGGACCCCCGCACAGGAAAGCTGCAGACTAAAGAAGGCATTGAGAGAGCCATCAAAGAAATGCAGCGTTTCGCTGGCCTCAAAGACACAGGCAAACTTGGTAAGTGCAACACAGGCAGGAAATGGTCTAACGGCATTGTTTCACAAGCCTTTTTCTGTGTGTTTTTTTTTCTTTCTTTCTGTTTTTCCCCGTTTCTTTCAGCAGTGTAGATTTCCCTGTTGGTTTTTCAAATCAAATTAAATCAAAAAACGATGTTTTCAGTTCTTCATAAACGCAAGTGTAATGAAAAGATTTAGAGTGACTTTTTCCTCAGTTGGTGGCTTGTAAATGGTTTGGTCAATACATTTCGAGAGAAAGAATTATTCCTCCCCACTTGGGTTTTTATTTCATGTATTGTAATGGGCTCTGTATCTCTGTAAGTCTATATATTGATCTAGGACCTTCTGTCCTGTGTTTCCATAGACAGTGACACCCTGAAACTGATGGACACGCCACGGTGTTCACTTCCAGACATTATAGGGTCTGAGGACATGCTGAAAAAGCGGAGGAGGAAAAGAAGATATGCGACCACTGGGCTTCGCTGGAAAAAGTCTGACCTCACATGGAGGTCTGCATTGTTAAACAAACACGGTCCCATACAATAACCCCAGCCGCTGACTTATCTTTGTTCCTCTTTAGCATCCAGAATTACCCATCTCTCCCTCCGTTCCTCAAACCCAATGCTGTGGAGTCTATAATGGTCTATGCCCTCAAAGCCTGGAGTGACGTCACCAACCTCAAGTTTCACGCTACATCCTCGAGCGAGCAGGACAGAGCTGATATCAAGATCTCTTTCGCCCGCTCGCTCCATGACGACGGGTATCCATTTGACGGGAAGGGAGGGACACTTGCTCATGCCTTCTTCCCAGGGGAGGCTGATGTTGCTGGGGATACACATTTTGACGACGAGGAGAGCTGGACCTACTTAGGCAAGAGACTTTATTAAATATTCAGTCAGTGGTTAATAGATGAATGACAGTCCCGATGGTTACAGAATATTTATGGATTATTCCACAGAAGAAAAATGCTGTATTAAGTCTATACAACACAGGTTGTTTCAAAGTAGCTTCACATGAATAAACAGGAAACTAACAGTGTTTATTATTAAACCAATTCAGTTTTAGGTGTAAAGCAGCTGTACAGAAGATAATAGTGTCATTTTTCAGCTCAGTTTAGTTTTGTTTCAATTCAGTTCAGTGTTGCAAATTAGTACCATTATCCAGCGCAATTTAGTTTAGATTTTGCTCTCTTCCGATATTACTGAAAATTAATTTTCTTTTAAATCCCAGTATATTATATAAAAAATTTTTAATAAACTATAAAATTAATTTCTCTTCATTTTTAAATGTTAAAACATTAAATTCTCCCAAAGTTTTGACTTTACGCATACTATGACATTGTTCCTTAACAAATAAGCATTGCTGTCATTTCCATCATGCCATTAATTTGAGAAAATTTGAGTTTATATTTGGTGAAACACATTTCATCCAGATAAACATAATGAATAATGATGATCAGAAATGTCATTTCTTTTCTGATTTCTCTCTCTCACATTTTCTTGATCTGAGAGCAGCTTTCTAAGCTGTCGTTACCAAACCAGTTAATATTTGAGAATTAATTTTTATTGCTATACTGAAAGACAATAGCTGGGTTTGTCCCTTTTTAACCCAGCGCTGGGTTATATTTAGCCCAGCATTTTTTTACAGTGTACTTTGCTGCTTATTAATAGTTAATAAGGTAGTTGTTACATTTAGGTATGGGGTCGGATTAAGGGATCTAGAATAAAGCCATGCAGAATAAGGCATTAATATGTGCTTTATTGTACTAATAAATAGCCAATATGCTAAACTCAAAAAAATGCTGGGTTAAATACAGCCTAGTGCTGGGTAAAATAGGGACAAACACATTTCATCCAGATAAACATAATGAATAATGATGATCAGAAATGTCATTTCTTTTCTGATTTCTCTCTCTCACATTTTCTTGATCTGAGAGCAGCTTTCTAAGCTGTCGTTACCAAACCAGTTAATATTTGAGAATTAATTTTTATTGCTATACTGAAAGAAATGTAATGTAGAAACAATTCTCACTCAGAAATTGCTAGTCAATTACACAATTAATTACAAAGAAACACATTGAATTAAACGATAACACTTTTGAACAGGGAACATTTTTTCACTTGACTTTTCCCTCAATAAACTCCTACACTCTAAAAAATGCTGGGTTAAATATAACCCAGTGCTGGGTTAAAAAGGGACAAACCCATTTTACCCAGCACTGGGTTGTATTTAACCCAGCATTTTTTAGAGTGTAGTAATATGCATGCTAATAAGCAAGTGTTACCAATTAAACATAAAACAGTAAAATAGTATTTTCTTGTAAAACGCATTCCGATAATCTATATTTTATTTACAACTTCAAAAAATCAGCTGTAAAGTGTATAAGTTTAGTATTAGTGCACTGCTAACATATGTCCAAAAAACTCAGAGCGTTACTTTACTAGTTACTTGAAAAAATTAATCTGATTACGTAACTGGCGTTATTTGATATATATTACCCCCAACACTGCTTATAATAATAAGTACTTATATTTGGACTATTGTAGCCTGGTCGGGTCGTCACCGCTGCGGAGTAACACATACCTGCGTGAATCGCCATAGACATAAACTTAGAGAAGTAGCTCCGGTTGGAATGTTCTTCCGCGGGATGTGTGCAGTTCTGTTTATTAACCGCTAGAGCGCCAAAAGTTACATAGTGCTGCTTTAATAAGGACATGCAGCAGGAATGTAAAATTAAATGAAATGTAAGTGTAACTCTTTTTTCATTTATTAGATTAGTTATGGATCATTGTCTGAAAACCTGTTGTTTCAGTTTATCATAATACACGGAACTGACCACATGTAAATTTGTCGCTGTGGTTCTGGTTTGTGTCTTGACAGGAAGGAAGAGCATCTTGTCAACACCATCCCCAAATAATCCTACATCACACTTACCCAAACCACCAAGTCCACCTCAACCCAAAGTACCATCACAGTAAGTCATGTTTATCAAGACACATACCATACAAATGTTCGGGGTCAGTGAGAAAATTACACATTTATTCAACAAGACCTCATTTAACTGATCCAAATTGACAGTAAAGACCTATACACTCCAAAAGATGCTGTTTGTTTGTGCTGTGCCTTTCCATTCTTCAGAATTCTGAAACAAAAGTATTATGATTTCCACAAAAACGTGAAGCAGCAGAACTATTTCAAAACTTATAATAATAATAATAATAAATGCTTTTTTTAAGCTGGAAATCAGCATATTAGAATGATTTCTGAAGGATCATGTGACACTGAAGACTGGAGTAATGATGCTGAAAATTCCGCTTTGATCACAGAAATAAATTATATTTTACTAGTGCTGTCAAACGATTAATCGCGATTAATCGCATCCAAAATAAAAGTTTTTGTTTACATAATATATGAGTGTATACTGTGCATATTTATTATGTATATATAAATACAAACACCTGCATGTATATATTTAATAAAAATATGTTATGTTTATATATACATAATAAATAAACACACTACGCACATGTATTATGTAAACAAAAACTTTAATTTTTAAAATATCGCGATTAATCATTTGACAGCACTACATTTGACAATATATTACAATAGAAAACCGTTATTTTACATTGTAATAATATTCCACGATATTACTGTTTTTACTGTATCAAATAAACCCAGCCTTGGTGAGCAGAAGAGACTTTTTGAATGGTAGCGTAGATACACACTTCTCCAGCACTCAATAATATCAAATGAACTCTGTGACCTCTCTCTTTGTCTAGACCTGATCCATCAGTCCAGAATCGTTGTGAAGGAGGTTTTGATGCAGTGGCAAACATCAGAGGAGATGTTTTCTTTTTTAAAGGTATCCAATGACTAGTCTTACAAATGCACAGATTTTGTGATCCAGTTGATCATCTTAAAATCCACTTGCTCAAGATTTAAGCCTGCTGTTTTAATGCAAGAATACAAGTTTGAAATAATAGATGCCATCATACATTCTCCAGCTGATTATTCACATGATTATTACAAGTTTTCATAAATGTAATGATTAGGCCTACATATGGAAATGATGCATTATCTACGGAAATATGCACTAATTTGTGCAAATTTCCAGCAAAGAAATGTTAAGATGGAAATAGATAAGTGCAATAAAATAAACACATTTGTATTATGGATGTTTTCTTTCCATTAGTCTGAAAGAAGAGAAAGTAGGAAACAAAAATGTAGAAGAACATTTTGTTTGGCTTTTGATATTGTCTAGGTCCATATTTCTGGCGAATCCAGCGGACTGGTTCTCTTGTGTCCTTCCACCCTGCTCTCATAAAAAACTTCTGGATTGGTCTTCCTCCCGGCACCAACAAGATAGATGCAGTTTATGAAAGAAAAACGGATAGCAGGATCATATTCTTCGTAGGTTGGTTCCTTTTTACTCAATAGGGGCACAATGGAAGGACAAATCAATTAGAAAAAGCAAATTTCTGTAAGTGAATGCGTAACTTTTTCCACACAGGCTCACAGTATTGGGTATTTAAAGACACAGTGGCGGTTTCTGGCTACCCACATCCGCTGTCAGACTGGGGGCTTTTCTCTCATGACGGAAGTGAGGTGAAGAGGGTGGACGCTGCCTTTATTTGGGCTCATAATGGAAAAACCTACATCTTCAGCGGTGGAGAGTTCTGGAGGTTCTCCGAAGGCCTGGAGTCTGGGAGGCGGCGTCCAGACGCGGGTTATCCCAGAAACTCCTCCCTCTGGAAGGGCGCGCCCAGTGACCCTGATGACATCATCACCTGGGGAGACGGTAATGTAGAGAAAGTCTGTTTACCTCAAGTGCATTTTCAGCTAGTCTGCTACATTATCAGCTTATACTATAGCTTTGGCTTCAGTTGTTATCACTCATATCAGTCTGTTCAGAATAGAGCACTGCAGTAATAATGTATTTTTGTAGGCCAATCTAAAAGTTCGCGTCACCATGGTTCTCACGACAAAAACTCCGTAGAATTTTTCCATTGGCTTTTGGATTATTGCAGAAAATAAGCTCCGTGACCAACAAAAGTTTATGATTCTTACACATTTTATTCATTCTCAAATGAACACAACTTTAAATTTTAAAGCCTAAATACGATTGAATTAAAAAAAAGTAAAATGTAGAATATGAACGAACTTCAATGTCACCACTATTAAAAAAATTAAAACTCTTTAAAAGACATTTTCCCTGAAAGTTTGCGTTAGAATTGTAGACTAATGAGTAGGCCAAATAAAAGGTTAAAACAAATCATGAGTGAGGTATTTCAGATTTTTTTTTTTCATGAAAATGCAACATAAAGTGTCAAAATATCTAGAGTTTGTGTTCACCACAGATATTATTTCAGACATTTAGCCAAAAACCCATTCAAAAAACCCACTGACTTCAGGACGATGGAGCTGGAAGTGCTAAAATGCTAACTCATTTCCGGGTTTAGCCTACAAATTGTTATATTTTATAATTGAATACTTATCGTATTGTAAAGCATGGGGTATATACACAGTATATATATATTTGCCTTTCAGCTGAATCTCTTTTACTGGGATTCTGCTTTGTCTGTCATTGGTTATGCAATTATTCAACTAAATCGTTCAAATATAATTATAAATAGAATAGTTTATTTGGTATTGTACATTAATGACACTTTCAGATACAGAAACTCACAATGCAGTGCGCTCTGTTTGATCTTCCATGTCCAGCATAACAAATTATGCAGAATTAATATCAACCACAATTGTTTTTCACTCATTATTTGATTGGCAATGCAGAAGACACCAGAAAAGTAAATGTAAACATTCAATCTGCAGCATTAATGTAGCTTTAAAATTTTGAATGCTGAATGACACAATGCAGTAGTATGTTGCACACAAATATATTTTTATTTAGATTGAACTATTTTAATCAACATTTCTCCAACTTATATGCATTTTATAAACATACAGTTTATTTCTTAACCTCTCAGGAGATGCCTATTTCTTCAAGGACAACTCATATTGGATTCTGAAGAGCGGAGGATTGGACCAAGACAACATCAGTCACAAATCAACCGCAGTCGATTGGATGATGTGTCCAGAACCGACTCCAACCACACTTCCTACCAATCCACGTGACCGAGGAGAATGTAACTGTGGCCTGAACGGAGCCTTACAGATGAGTGCTTCATCCTGGTTACTGTTCATCATATTACTGCTTTATCCAGGCGTCCTTATATAGGGCCACTTGCAATAAAAAGACAACATCATCATCATCATCATTATTTTTAAGGACTGTTTTAAAGCACTTAAAATGATATCTAATATTCAAATATTACTTAAGAGCAACTTTTGTTTCATGTTTTGATCTATGCAAGTTTAAAGGGGTGGTTCATTGCGATTTCACTTTTTTAACGTTGGTTAGTGTGTAATGTTGCTGTTTGAGCATAAACAATATCTGCAAAGTTACAAACATAGACTGTATAAAAACATGGACGTAGTGTCCGTGACGTCACCCGTAGACTTCTGATGAGCGTTTTAAAGCCTAAAGTGGGCGGAGCCAGCCGTTGCCATCTTGGCAGCACGTCACCGCGCCTCACTCCCGGATAATCAAAAATGGGCAAAGAGGCGGGAACTGGCTGCTGAAACCACGCCCACCTAGCTCGACGGCGGTGACAGCAGCGGCAATCCACCTGTCA